CACACACACACACACACACACACACACACACACTGTGTTTACCACGTGCTACCCTGTTCTAAGCCTTTTACAGGGATTACTCACTAATCCCACAACAGCCTCGAAAAGTAGGTTCCCTGTGAGTCCTGTTCTGCAGACCAGGAGGCCCAGAGACGTTAGTTCCTGGCTCGGGGGTCACACAGCCAGCAAATGATGTGCAGGTCCTGCACTGCCTCTCTGTAAGCATGTGGCAGATCCAGAGCCTGATGTCCAGTCCCCTGGGGCCAACCCGGTGAGGGGAGGAGGGGAAGAGTTTGACCCTTTCTACCCTGTTCCTTACAAATACCTGGAGAAGTTAGAGCGTGAATTTGAGTTGAATTTTCCATTATTCAACCAACAGTTATTCGCCCAAGCGACTTCTCTGTGTTCGGCCTGTGCTGGGTGGCAATGGGGACACAATGGTGACTGAGACGCCTTGGCCCAGCAGTCCCCTCTTGGGACTACATTCGAATATTGGGGATAGACCTGTCTTCAAGACAGAGATGACCCAGAACGGGCACGACTGAGATGTGGGAGCCCAGAAGGCTACCGGATCCAGAAAGGAACGTCTCATCCGGCCTTGGGGTCCCCAGAGGGCTTCCGGGAGGAGGGAACATCCGCACTGGGGCTCAGAGAACAAGGGAGCAGAAGGCAGATTGGCTGAGGCTCGGAGGGAAGGTGCGGATCTGCGCTGTGGTCTGGGGCCTGGATCACGGGCCAGCAGCGCTCTCTGCTGGAAGCATCCTGTAGTGCAGGGACTGGGGTACGCAGGAGTATGGAAAAGCCTCCAGTTGAACCGAATTCCACGATGGGAAAATCCTGTGCGCCCAGCTGTGGCCGATTTACTTTTCTAAGACCTGACTTCACTCAGTCAACTGCTCGACAAATTGCTTATTGAGCACATACTTGGCACCAGGATCTGCTCTAGTGTTGAAGATCCGATGCTGACAATACAGAGTCCCATCTATATATGACCTCATTCAACCCTCGCAGCCTTTGACTATCCCCATTTTACAGACTCAGCACGTTGGACACACACACAGAGTTTAAGTTACTTGCCCAAGGGCTTCGCAGCCAGTAGGTGCCGAAGTCAACTTTGAACACAGACCCCAAGCTTTAGCCATTACATCACCTCGCCGACCATGTGATGAGACACAGTAATAGGGACATAACGTTACCTAAAATCATTTTAGGCCCTGAGAAGTTTTGCGAACCAGATCAAGCCGGGGAATGCGGGAGTGTTTTGGTGGGACAGTGTCATTTAGAAGGCGCAGTCGGGGAAGGCCTCTGGGACGAAGCGGCCTTTGAGAAGCTACCAGACGGACGGATGGGATCCATGGGCAGAGGGGGCCGAGAGCGGCCGGCCCTGCAAGAATGCCATCGGTCTGGGATCCAAAGTTTCCAACATTCCAGCTTCTCTGAGACCCGGCTGGCCGGACTCCAGCGCGCCGGAATCATCCTCAG